TCCCACCACTTTGCAACATAAATCTTGTGGATTAGTTTTATAAGCTACTCATATGAGATGATCTTTCTTTTTTAAAAATATTTTTTAGTTGTAGTTGGACAAATACCTTTATTTTATTTTATTTTTTATGTGGTGCTGAGAATCAAACCCAGTGCCTCACACGTGCTAGGTGAGTGCTCTACCACTGAGCCACAACCCCAGCTCCTCCCAACCCCCTCCCCTGAAATGATCTTTCTTATTTGTGCTCCCCCCCCCCCCATTGCTGGGGATTGAACAAGGGCCTTGYTCAGGCTATTCAAGTACTCTGCCACTGAGCTATATCTCGAGCCCTCTTATTTAGCTTTCTCTATCGTTCCTTTTCCCTCMAAACATGCTTTTTTCTTCTACTGCCTTTCCAAGTTCTCCCCATTTTGCTGAATTCAGTTTAGACTTCTCCCTTCACAGGATTTCTGAAGTTGACAGACTTGATCAATCTCTTTTCAAAGTCACTTGGTATTTAAGCATTTATTACATTTTATATTATACTTTGTCATTATCTTATTCTGTATATCTTATAAGTTTTTGCCTAACAAAATTATTATTTTTTAAACAGCAACATTTACATCCTAACATTTATTCTAACCCCTCACTAAACTTAGTAAACTTTCAAGAAATACTTTGTGATCAAAATAGTATTGTTGACCAAATATAGATAACAAAGTTTAGATCAGTTAGAGAAAATAGCACTCATTTTTTTTTTGGGGGGGTACTGGAATTGAACTCAGAGGTGCTTAACCACTGAGCCACATCCCCACCCCTTTTTATATTTTATTTAGAGACAGAGTCTTGCTAAGTTGCTTCGGGTCTCACTAAGTTGCTGAGGCTGGCTTTGACTTGCAGTCCTCCTGCTTCAGCCTCCTGAGCTGCTGGGATTACAGATGTGCAGGCAAAAAATAGCTCTCTTAAGAGACTTTTTATAGGGCTGGGGATGTGGCTCAAGAGGTAGCGCGCTCGCCTGGCATGCGTGCTGCCCGGGTTCGATCCTCAGCACCACATACCAACAAAGATGTTGTGTCCGCCGAGAACTAAAAAATAAATATTAAAAAAAAAATCTCTCTCTCTCTCTCTCTCTCTCTCTCTCTCTCTCTCTCTCTCACTCTCTCTTTAAAAAAAAGACTTTTTATATATCTACAATTGATACTTTCTGAAGATACTTCTTTAGAAACTCAAACTCAGTCTTTTTTTTTTTTTTAAATGGTACTGGGAATTGAACTGAGGGGCACTCAACCACTGAGCCACATCCCCAGCCCAGTTTTGTGTTTTATTTAGAGACAGGGTCTCACTGAGTTACTTAGTGCCTCGATAAATTGCGGAGGCTGGCTTTGAACTTGTGATCCTCTTGCCTCTGCCTCCCAGCAGCTGGTATTATAGGCATGGGTCACCACGCCCAGTCTCAAACTCAGTCTTTTAAAAATATGATTTTAGGAGCTGGATATGTAACTCAGTGATAATGCATGTGTAGCATGCACAAGACTCTGTTTGATCCCTAGCACATGCATGTGTATATACATATACACAATAGTCTCTTAAAAATATATCTGGTTCTCTTATTATGTATTAGTTATATAATGCTATATAACATCACTCCAACATTTTAGTGACTTCAATCAGTAAACATGTATTTATCTCACAGAACCTTTAGATCAGGAATTTGGGTTAGGTTTAGCTAGGTCGCCCTAATTCAGGGTATAGCAGGGAGTTCCAGTCAAGGTGTTGACCAGGGCTGCAGGTTCAAATGAAGGTCCAGCTTAGGGGAATTGTCTTCTAATCATTTACACAGTTGTTGGCAGGATATAATTCCCTATGGGTTGTTGGAYTGAGGTCCTTAGTTCTTTCCTGGCTATTGACTAAAAATGTCCCCAGGTCCTTGCCATAGGAGCAGCTCATGGCAGCTGTTCCTTCTCAGGTGAAAGAACAGAACTACAAAAGCCACAATATTTTATATTCTAATTTTTAATGGGACAACTCATTTCTTCTGCCATTTTTTAAAAATATATTTTTTAATTGTAGATGGACACAATACCTTCATTTTATTTTTTATGTGGTGCTGAGGATCAAATCCAGTGCCCCACACATGCTAGGCAAGCACTCTACCAGTGAGCTACAGCCCTAGCCCTCTTCTGTCATTTTATTTATTAGAATTGAGTTAGTAAATTCATTCTATGCTCAGGGAAAGAGGATTATACAAAGAAGTTGGGAAATATAACTCATCAGTAGAGTACTTGTATTACATGTGCAAGGCCTTGGGTTCTATKATCCCCAGCCTAGTGGGAAGAAAAAATAGTGGTAGAATATCAGGAGGATGGAGATCATTGAGGCCCATCTTAGCGGTTGTTTTCCTTAACTAGGCTCTTCTTTTATCTACTAGAAACTTTGGCCTCTGGAAAAAAAAGAGTTACTTATCTGAGTCTTTCCCAGTAATCATTCTCTTTGTACCTAAACTTTAGTCTATGGTAACATGTCCAGGGTTATTTCATGTTATTTTATATAATACTCTGAATCCTGGCCCTACTATTGTGATATTCAGGAGAACATGCAGTCTCTTATCAAAATAAACATTGAATCCAAACGAAATATAGGATTCAAGTATAATATTTTTGTTCCAGTTATTTGAATAAATAATATATAGCATATGCTCAAAACAAAGCATATTTTCAATTAAATCTTTTTCTTTTAAAGTTTTTTTAACCTTYATTTTATTTATGTGGTGCTGAGGATCGAACCCAATGCCCCTTACACATGCTAGACAAGAGCTCTACCACTGTGTTACAACCACAGCCCCTTCAATTAAATCTTCTGTCAAAACCTCAACATGGGGTGGTTGTGGTTCAGTGGTAGAGTGCATGCCTGGCACGTGTGAAGCACTAGGTTTGATCCTCAGCACCTTATAAAAATAAGTAAATAAGGTAAAAGTATTATTCATCTACAACTACAAAAAAAAATTTAAATAAAAAAATAAATTAAAAAAAAAAACTCAACATGAAGTTGGGGATGTAGCTCTCAGTGGTAGAATATTTGCCTGACATTCATGAAAGCCCTGCATGGGGCTTTATTTCCAGCATTGCCAAAAAGCAATACACATAATGTGCTGTGTAAAGACTCAAAACATTTTTTGTAAATTGACTTACTTATACATGTCCATCAACCCAATTAATTTAATGCTTTTGGAGTCCTTCTACATATGCAGAATGAAATATTGTTGGTTAGACTTTACTATCTTAAAGTTCTAATTGAAAGCACACAAATAATATATTAATGTTCATAGGAATTCTTTTGTGATCAGAGTTGGAAAGTTTAACACAATACTTGATGAAGTCTTTAAAAGTTTATTTTGAATTAGAAAAATAAAGGTTATATTAAAGCAATTTTATTAGCTTCTTAGCAGTTTGGGAGGTTGGGTTAGAACTAGTTTCATATCTCAATGTTTCTTTCAAAATAAATAAGGTAAATGAAAAATTTAAACATTAAAAAGAGACAAGTGCTGGGCAAGTKCTCGTGCCTATAATACCAGCAACTCAGGAAGCTGAGGCAGGAGGATCAAGTTCAAGGCCCAGCCTCATCAACTTAGTGAGATCATACCTCACATTTTTAAAAAGGGCTGGAGATATGACTTAGTAGTAAGGCGCTCCTGAGTTCAATTCCCCAGACAATCAAAAAATTTAAAAATAATATTTTTTGCTGTGTACCTGTAATCTCAGCAACCTGGGAGGCTGAAGCAGGAGGATCACAAATACAAGGCCTTAGCAGTTTAATGAGGCTGTAAGCAATTTAGTGAGAGCCTTTCAAAATAAACAATAAAACTGGTTGGAGATAATGCTCTGTGATAAATTTCCCCTGGGGTCAGTCTCCAATTCATGAGGATGTGTAGTGGGGTAAGGAGTGAGACCAAATTAAAATAC